ATAATGAATAAAATTTAAACTTTTTTTAATACTATTTTTTTTAATCGAAACATAATAAAGATTCATATAATTTGATTATGGAATTATTGAAAATAAGTTTAATTTGTCATTATTGTAAATTAACTATTTTGGGTTGAATTGAATGGTACTTCTTTTGTCCCACGAATATAGGTTTGTTCTATTTTTACGCGAATTAAGAAAATGTAATTAATATAATTGAAAATACATTTTTTTCTTATATTTTTTCTAATATACACTACATTAGATAATTATTTAAATAAGAGTAATTCATATTTGTTGATAATAAGGTACGTTAAATAGGGACATAGTAGAAAACTAAGAAATTAACTATACTTTCAATAAGAAAAGTGACATATAATTTGGGACAGATAAAAAATGAAAGTCAGTCTTTCCTTTTTAGAATGTAAGGAGTATATTTAAAGGAGAGAAGTTAAACAATGAGTTTAGCATGGTGTCAGGCAGTTGGGTTAGTTGGACTACCCAATATCATTTTCTCTCTCACTTCCTCTTCCTCTTTCTCTTCAATTTCTTTTGAGTTTTTATTTAGCCCTTGTTTGTCTACCATTAATTTAAAACATTGTTTGCTACAGTAAGATTCTCCACCACACATTCACTCAATAAAATATTCTATACATAAACCAATAAAGTTACTTTAAATTTCAACGACACATTCTTCAAAAAATACTATTCATTACACCATTTTCAATCTAATAATGGTAGACAAACAGGCTATTAGTATTTATATATCACAGAATTCTTGACCGGCAAAATGTGACTAATCAAATGGCCAGTGTGTGTTTAGCATCGAACCTTCGAAATCAGAATAAAAATCGTATTCAACATGGTTAACTTGTGATGTCATGTGTAATATGTCCATCTCACCACGAATGAGCTCGGTCACCCTATCCAAACAACCTCAACAGATGAGTTCGGCCCTTTTTGAATGTTTGAGAATGGTAGATTGGCGGCAAACCTATCACTTGGATAATCATTAGTCATCGTCGTCATCTTATCTACCAATCAAAAATTATTGATGTAAAAGTTGACTCTTGTAACTAGAAATAATAAGAGTTTTGCTACAAAAATAGGGTCAGTCACAAGTATAAAAATAGGTGGGTCACGTGTTATTCAATGATTCGACAGTTTAAAAATAAATAAAAATTTACCCAAACAAGTGTTGACACGTACACCTGTTTTTTCCTCGTTGTCACTTACCTTGTTTGAATAACTTTACCCAAATGATTAAGGTGGCTGGTAACTGTAATCCATTTTTATGGGGGTCAAAATAAAAATACTAACTTATTAATATATTTTATTCTTGAATGCCTCCGTTCGAGTTTGAACGTAGCTTAGATTCCGAACTATCATTTATTGATCTTTCTAAATTTTGCTTTAAGTTGAATTGAGAACTATCATTTATTGATCTTTCTAAATTTTGCTTTAAGTTGAATTGATTACTGATGCCAACAAATTTCAATTTTTATAACAAAATACATTACAAAGTATCAAAAGATAAAATAATAATAAAAAAAAACGTATCAAAAGATAATTTCCAATTATCTTCGATCTTCTTTTTCAATGACACATGTAATGAAGCCATTGACGCTAGCCAACGCATAATTTCTGTTTACTAGCAGGCTCGGCCCTAACCTAAGGAAACCTAGGCCATTGTCTAGGACATCAAGATTTAAAAGAGCCGAAAAGAAAAATTAAAACCTCAAAAAAGCTCGACAAAAAATTTCCTTAATTTTTTGGGATATTTGTAGTTGTGGTCCCAAATTTATCCTTTTTTTGCAGACTTTATCTGAACATTTTGTTGTGCCACTCATGGTCCCAAACCTTTCATTCTGTTGCATGACAAGTATAAATGGATGAATTCCATCCATAAAACCGTTACTTGACCTAAGGCTCCGTTTGTTACACCATATTTTCTATGGAAAATGGAAATTTTCCAACTTTTGTAGTGTTTGATAGGCAAAATTTTTTTGAGAAAATGTTTTCCAACTTTCCAAAATTTCCACCTTTTTGAGGAAAACAAATTATTGATATTTTGGTTGGTAAATTTTTTCCAAGTTTTTTTTTCTTGCAATTGGAAAAAAATCTAGACACAATGGTAAAAAAATTTATCACTTTTATTGACAATTTTCATATAAAACAAAGTCAAACGAATGGTATTAGGTATGATAATTTTTTTTCTATTTTTTTAAAAAAAAAATTTTTGGCAATTGGAACAAATTCTAAACCCAATGGTAGGAAAAATTATCAGTTTAAACGGACATCAAACTTTCAACATTTTCCATGAAAAATTATACCAATCAAACACAATTACTTACAATTCCCAATAAAAAAATTTTTAGACAAATCAAAATTGGTTTTGCCTATCACAGATTTATGTTGAAAATCAATATTCCTTGTGTGCTAATTTACTGTCCGAGAGAAATAAAATTCAATATTTATATATGTTTCAACTATATCTCTATGAATTATGCAACTAGATAAAAATACAAGACAAATTTATAATATCAATTAATATTGAACTAAGCATAAAAATACATATCTATTTCCTATAGGACCTAGTGTTTTTTATTATCACATGCTAATCTATAAAAAACCTCTCAAAACAATATAAATTACAAACATGTTCTATTAGAAAAACATTTTTAATGCAATTGAATACTCTTTACTAGAACTAATTTAAGTTTTAAAACTAAAAGCATAATTGTGAAATGTTTATAAAACGTTTAAATTATAAATGAATAAAAATGAATGATGAATAAGTAAATAGTAAAGTATGCATTATATTATTATAATTAATTAAGAGAGGTTGTCAATACCAAGGTATATACAATGAGAAAATATATAAACATAATTTTAAAAAACTAGTACATGTATCTAGTATTGTAAAAATATGTAAATTCATCATAAAAGTCTAAAATTTTATATTCAAACGTTTTTTTCCAATATAAGTTTTATAAATATGTTGTATATAACCCAACCATGCAGTCCTCAATAAATTCGAGGGATACTTGCAAATCAACAATGTCACTAAGTGTTAATACACAAACTCAACTGGCTGAAATTATTCATGTTAAGTAGGACAAAATGAAAGAATCAGAGCCTAAATAAAAGCGAAAAGATCTTGTGAAGTGATTCAGAGATACTCATTATATTATTTCAATCATCAATATCTAAAAAACTCAAAACGATAAAACAACATCCTTCAAGGAGAAGTTTTAAGAATGTTAACCTTTATAAACTCAACTGCAAGTATCATGCGAAATTCAAGGACGGATTCAGGCCCGGATAGATGAAACTGTAAGATGTTGTATATTCAATTGAAGTGAAGCAATAAACAATTACCATTGTCGTGTGTAATATGTCCATCTCACCACGAATGTGTTCGGTCACCCTATCCAAACAACCTCAACAGATGATTTCGGCCCTTTTTGAATGTTTGAGAAGGGTAGATTGGCGGCAAACCTATGACCTGGATAATCATTAGTTATCGCCGTCATCTTATCTACCAATCAAAAATTATTGATGTGGAAGTTGACTCTTGTAACTAGAAATGATTAGAGTTTTGCTACAAATAAAAGAGTCAGTGACAAGTATAAAAATAGGTGGGCCACGTGTCATTCAATGATTCGACAGTTTTTTTAAAAAAAATTTACCCAAACAGATGCTGACACATACACTTGTTTTTTTCCCTATTGGCACTTACCCTGTTTGAATAACTTTACCCAAATGATTAAGGTAGCTCGTAACTATAATCCATTTTTATGGGGGTCAAAATAAAAATACTAACTTATTAATATATTTTATGCTTATTCCGAACTATCATTTATTGATCTTTCTAAATTTTGCTTTAAGTTGAATTGATAACTGATGCCAACAAATTTCAATTTTTATAACAAAATACATTACAAAGTATCAAAAGATAAAATAAAAAAAAAACGTATCAAAAGATAATTTTCACTTATCTTCGAGTTGAGCAAATCTTCCTTTTCAAATGACACATGTAAGGAAGCCATTGACGCTAGCCAACGCATAATTTCCATTTACTAGCAGGCTCGGCCCTAACCTAAGGAAACCTAGGCCATTTTCTAGGGCATCACGATTTAAAAGAGCCTAAAAGAAAAATAAAAAGCTCAAAAAAGCTCAACAAAAAATTTCCTTAATTTGTTGGGATATTCGTAGTTGTGGTCCCAAATTTATCCCTTTTTTGCACACTTTATCTGAACATTTTGTTGTGCCACTCATAGTCGCAAACCTTTCATTTCGTTGCATGACCAGTATAAATGGATAGATTTCATCCGTAAAATCGTTACTTGACCTAAATATTTTACTTTCACCAATCTTAAAAAGATAAAATGTCAACTTTGCATTTTATATATAAAATAAGTTAAAAATTAAATCGACAAAATAAAAAAAATTAAAACCCATCTTCTCCTCCACTCCACCCACCCACCCCCCCAAACCAAATCAACACCAAATTGGTTTTGCCCATCACAGATTTATGTTGAAAATCAATATTCCTTGTGTGCTAATTTACTCTCCGAGATAAATAAAATTCAATATTTATCTCTCTGAATTATGCAAATAGATAAAAATACAAGACAAATTTATAATATGAATTAATATTGAACTAAGCATAATAATAAAATGCTCTTTATAATATTATTTCTATATAGTATAACTTTAGATAAGTTTTACTGTACCACAAAAAATTTCGTCCAATCTATTTTGTTGGTTGCATAAAACTCGATATTACAACACCAAACAGTTTATTTGTAATACGCACATGCAATGCAGCACTCACAGGCAAAGCTTGTACTACTACAAATATTGTAATGTCAGCCTCAGTTTTCCCAAAATTGTTACGCAAGAAACATTCTCTTTATGACACTATCTAGGATATAGCATTGCCACCAAGTTTATCGAAAAATCCATAAATCAGTTAAGAAAAAACGACAGCAGAACTAGTTATTGAATCTGATACTTCCGCTTTTTCCTGGATTAATACCGGATGCTTCCCCACCGTAAGGACCTGTTGGCTTCCTAATACCCGGCACCTGTCCTTTTCGACGCACCTCTGCCTTCTCGTATTTCAACTGAGACACAGATTGAAGGGGAATGGGGGTTAGTCTTCATTTGGAAATTTAAAATAGTCCTAATAAATTCGAATGTTTGCATCAAATACCTTGTACTTCTTTCTGGGATTTTTAGTTTGCTTCTTACGAGCACGGGTCAACCCCCTGTTCTTCTCCATCTGTGGAAATTGAAAGCAGAAATACAGTTGAGACGATGATGGGAAAAAAATATGGCAGATAAAAGTGAAATACAAATCTCTCAAGCTCTTCGATTAAATAATGTGCTTACCTGATGGGTAATATGGCGCTTCCCATTGACAGTTTCTTCCGGCAAGGATGAAAGTTCTGAGACTCTGTACAAGTAAGTCAGAATCAGTATATGATAAACATTTCCTATAAGTGGACATACAAAATTAATAACAAAAGACCTGAAACTAAAAAGATACGGTTATACGTGCAGGTGCATTCTAATGAACAAATACACAACAGTAGAAGTTGAAAGGATGGCTTGAATCTAATAAATCAGCTGAAGCCAGAGAGACCCGAGCTGTGACTGTGTGACAAGGAATATACTTCTCAACTCTCCATAAGGGCAAATTTGGTGCACAGAATTGGACAGTATTGTGCATAACATATACAAACAAAATTTTAGCTTCTTTAATTAATTCTATCTACTATGGTCTAGGGTCCAACATACCAAACATCCTATAAGTGCTTTTGCACATTTTAAATACCTCGAATACTTGTCAGCTTTTGCAGCAACCTTTGCAGCATGTTGTCGTTCCACTTGTTTGTAGTATTCCAAATCAGAATCTGCATCACTCTCCATATGGACATCGGCATCTTCATCACTTGAAAGAGCACCGGGCTCATCTTCAACATCATCAACAGATTTGATTCCAGCTCCAGCCAAAACACGGAGCTCATGCTTTCTTCGCTGTTCTCCAATATCATCCCGTTTAGGTAGATCGTCATCACCAGAAATGACCTGGCAAAAGAAATATAAATATATAAAATAAAATAGGAAGGTAACTTATGGACTGCCACTCAAAAATTTCAGGCAATGAACAAATACCAAGCATATATTCAGACTTGAAATGATAAAAATGATGATTGATGTGTAAGCAAGAGAATTCAAAGTCTGGTTTATGACATGAAATATGTTATTATAACATAATACCGTGTAGAAGAGAAAATCATCATATATTGTTGATCTCCTTTGCTGGAGTTCAACCGTATTCAAGACATCTTTTTCAGTCAATGAGATTCACTACCATTAGGCTTATGAATTTGTTGGAACCAGTTTTTGTTGGTTGGGTTATGTATCAGCGTTTTCCTTCAGATTAAGTACCACTTTCTAGTTTATACTGCAGAGGATTTCTCCCATTTTCTGAACCCAAACAGCTGCCCATTCATTGTGTTTTAGTTGCTCTTTGATCACTCAAGACTTGTGTCATTCTTTCACTTCAGTACCATTCACTATCTGTTACCAGAAGACCATCATCTTCCTTTTCCCATAACTTCATCTTAAAAGGGCACAAGGTAACCTCGTATGGTGCTATAACATTTTTCCATGCATTGTCGTGAAGAAATACTATTTACTAATCTGCACAAATTTATTTCTTACAGGCAAAAAGTGGTAGCATAAATGAGTAAAAACACATTTAAGGGTATGTTTGATGAATATNGAAAAAAATGAATTTTAAAAGTGTGTTTGAGCCACATTATTTCGAAATAATGTATTTTGGAATAGTAGATTGATGGAGAATGTCTGGTTGAAAAAGAAGGAAAAGTTATTGATGTGATGAAAAATATTATTTTACTGAAGAATGTGTGGTTGAAAATGAGTTTTGAAATAATGTATTTTGAAAGAATGTGTACCAAACATGGGCTAAGATCCATACCTTCGGTTTATTCCTCTGAAGTGCCAGAAGCTGGGAAAGTTTACTTGGTCGAGATAGACTTGCCTCCCCATTACTCTTACCACGAGCACCCCCACCTATTTCCATTGCCTCGTCATCAAAATCATCTAAAGTCTCAAGTTGTCTATAGCAATCCAAATTTGGTTTGTTAGTGCTTGGAGATTTCACTAATTTATCCACAGAATGATGAAGAGGTGTAGAGATGAATGTTAAGGAAAACTATTACCTGTTGATTGGGCTAAGGTGCTTTCTAACCCTATCATCCTTTGGTGCAATGGAACTGAAAACACCTTTATGCTTCAATTTTTCCTCGAGGGCAGCCCTTAGTTTTAACATTTCTATGCTCTGCTCTCCAACTTGATTATCCTGCCACAATTGATGTACTTTTATACTACATGGAAAACCAGTTTACTTGTGCTACAAGAAACAACTCAACAAGTACTGTCTATTATTGGCTGAACAGCAATTCATGGCCACTGATATAAAAGCAGAAAAATCAACACACTTGTGAAGGTCATAGAAAGAATTTTGCACACGGCTCACTTGAGTCTTGCGTCGTGATTCACTGCTCTTAAAACTTCTTGAAACATTCACCTCAATCAATGCAGTGGCCTCTTTCAACTACAGTTTATGACAGACAAAAAAATAAATGAGGCTAAGTTTCCAACATAAAGTCCCATACTCTAAAAAGAGAAACTAATGGGGTTGTATGAATATAAAACTAATAGAAAACTAAAACTCAAATTCAAGATAAAACTACCTCATCTGTTGCATGTTTCTCAGAAGACACCAATGAGACCCGACCTTCGGTTAAAGGATCAGATTCTGGCGCAGCAGTATCTCCAACCACCTTAGTAACTGTTTCAGTACTCGCAATCTCGTTCACAATGTCCTCCAAGTCAAAAGGAAGATTCTCATCCAATTCTTTCATCTGCCACCAGAAAAAAAGGGCAAAAATCCATCAAGGAGCCCAAACAAAAGCTCTTTAACACACATCTTTAGACTTTTTAAGTAAATAAATAAATAAGCAGTACCAACTTTAATTATGAACTAGAAAATGAAAACAGGGAAGTAGACAGCCTAAGAAAGTCGTCGAATGGCCAAGATATTCATTCCACTGGAGCAAAACACATCAAATTTACCCAGCAAATATGATGATGTGTGCATAGTAAACAAGGTTCAGAAAATCAAGCCTTGCACAAATGCCTAAAATGATTACCCAAGATATCTCAACAACACAAAACAGACGGGATAGCAACAATAGATTATACTCATCAGGCATGTACACCAATAAACCAGAAAACAAACAATAATCACACTTCCTATTTCACATATGCCAAAGGAAATGTAAAAGAAAGATCCCTTAAGCTTTTCAACTAACAAGTACAGAGAGTTATTCCAAACACAACAGAAAAGTCAGGAGGATAATCATTTATATGACTGTAATGATTGACAACCTTTTATATTCAACTTAAGTTCGTTCCGTACATCCAACTCATTCTATTTTTGGCACAAGATTATGAGCAACTATAGGAATTCCAACCAGTGAAAATATTGTGTTCCATCAACTTTCTAATGAAGACTAATTAACATGATCTGCTCTGTTAACAAAGAAATAGTTCCCACCAACACCAAGAACATCACAAACCACTCACTGCCGACTGTTGCAGTACTGTGTCTATAGGTGTTAAGTCCAATCCATGCAGTATTTAAAATAGGATATCTCTTGACAATCACTGGCATTTGGTGCACAGAAGCATTTATTACCCTTAAAATGATATCATAAATACAAGGCCACCGTGGCCCAAGTATTTGAACATGAGAGTAATGCTCCCATTTTTATTGCATTGATTCCTCTTTATAATTGCGTGGGGGCTTACTTTTAGAAGGCAAGTAAATTATAGGATCAAGGGAAACAATATAAAAAGGAAAAAAGAAAGAGGGAATAAAAACAAAAGTGAGAAAGAATAACCTTATCCAATAAATTCTTGATCTCCACGAGACGAGAAACAACTGGATGATCACGGACTGGAAGACCTTCAGCCTTGAGAAGAAGATAAAAGGTTATAGCTTGGCAATAGCCCTGCAACAGAAGCTGCTTTACCTCTATGTAATGCATCCCTCCCTCCCTTGCATTCTCCTGTTCTCTAATCTTCACAAGTACAGAAGGCAATTAATATAATAGATCCCATAACATAGAAGAGATATAAAATATTGCAAAGCAAGTACAGCAAAAATATCTTGATGAGCCATCAATTAAACTACAAACGTGATAAGCAATTAGAGGGGCTGGGACCAAAATATACTGGCTGCTAGCAAGGATGAAGGATCTTATCCTACTATATTCAAGTCACCACTCCACTTCAACTGTTTCCCATCTATTCTATGGGTTAGAGAAGTCATAGTTTTTCTTTCCAAAACATTCAATATCATTCTTTTTTCTTACAAAATATGGGTCATGGGAATTTCAGGATGGGGGAGGAAACAAAGTTCACAAGACCTTCCAAAATAATGTATCAAAATTTCTTTAAATCACAGAAACAGAAGCTAATCCAGTCAAAGATTTAGATTGATGATGCTGTACAATGCTTCAAATAATTGCATTGAAACATATGAAGGTCCAGAAGAAAAAGGACAGCCAAATATACCTTGTTTGTAGATTTAATATTAGTTTGGACCAGATAAAGCCAACTTATAGTAACAATGAGTATACCTTGTGTACAAGTGGATTAACTTTCTTTTCAAGTTGCTCAAGAGCATCATTGAGCTCTGACAAAAGACCAACTAATTCTGGAGCAGATCTGTTAAACAAGTAATACGAGTAGCCTGTGAGAAGTATCAAAAGTAAAGAAAAAAAATATTTTAATAAAATTAGAATGTATTCCGTATATTAGAGCAAGCTAAACTTTCATGAAAGTATAATGCATCTGATCACATGATGAAGCGACATGGAAATAGTTGGACAATAAACAACTACTCCATATTATTTCTTGCCAAACTTGATTACAGGGAGGGGAAAATAAAAGACAATAGAACTACATGATGGAAGACTCGTGCATATTCCAGTGACAATTTTTATCAGATATGGTACTATTGAGCACTATAACAACACAACAGTATTTAGCATCAAAGTTATTCCTTTTCCAAAAGATTCTATTATTTATTAAAATAAAGCACATGTTTTCCCGATTTCATTTTTTTTCCTGGAAGTTGCCAAACAGGCTAAACTAAAGATGCTAAAGGAGCGTTCAGGAAGAACCAAGCTGGTTTCAGTACCTAGCTAGACAACTAGAACTTTTTCGTGAAAAGGTTTTCACTTGGTCTGATATCAGGGCATTAGGCTAAGCAGGTTCTAATTCAGACCAAGCTAGACATTTGGTCAACTCAACCAATTTATATGCCAAAAAACTAAATCAGTTGGTGGAAGTTCAGTATAACAAGCCTGTCTCAATTCCTACGCATTATTATTAGTAAATCAATGTCAAAAAAATAATTTACTTGAATTTATGTGTCAAATTGCATATCAAGTCAAACAATAATTAAACTGAAACCAGCTTCAGTGAAAACTGACCTCCCGTGTATTTTCGATCTGAAGCAATCACGCCACAGGGTTTCAAAACAGAAGCTAAAGATATATTGAACTCCCAACAATCACGCATACACACAGATGTGTCACAAACATATAGAATTATATTAGTGGCTTAAGAAGACTGGAGCTAAGTTACACCTACCCCAAGAAAAGCAAATTCCCCTCCTTTAGATCAACCTTCAGAGAGGAGTTATCATCTATTTAGTTTTAAAGCGCAAAGATTAAAAGATTGTGCATGTTCGGAAAATCAGATAAGTTTCCAAGTCAAAATTCTAAATATTCCACAGAAAAAAATTCAACTTCAAGACTGAGAAGAAAGTTAATTATACATTGCACATCATTGTCGGAACAATCCAGAACATTTCTTTTTCAGTTCTAAATTTCACGGTCCATCCTTTTCAGACTTCCTAGTTCCATAAGGCTTTCGAAGGGATACCTTTCTATTAATCTTTTTCCTCAATTAAACAGAATACCCTATCCCATCACCTTAGTTCAGCTGATATAACTCAATATTAATATCAACAAACTGCTAAGATGCTCAGTTTTCAAGAAAATCCACTTACATATGGAAAAATATAAGAGGACAACCAAGGCACTGAAGAAGCAAGCTGACCTGTAAACAACATCCATTTGCTCTTCCTTCGTTAAAGCATTTAAGTCTTTCTTTACTATCTCATAATCGATGCCATCATCGATTTCTTTGTCAAGAGAAGCTTTTGATTTTGGCTTTCCTTTGTCCAATATTTCCTGAAATGGGAAAATGACGAAGCAATCGGTGAAACTGTATTTCAAATTATCAGCTTCTGATTCAAGATGGAGATTATTAGGTTTTCTAATGCATATGTGTTACCTCAAATGTGGGCTCCCTGTCACTCTCATCTTCACTATAATCCTCAAGACCAAAATCTTCCATAGTTAACGCTTCTGCTCTCTGACTCTGCAATTTTAACACTTCTTTTTCCTCATCAGCAGCATCCTCGTCGTCGCTTGATTGTGGCTTCAGGATAGGGAAAAAATTTTAAAACACATCATGATACTCGTCATATGCTGCAAAATTCAGTATTAATAGTTGACAGATATATATTTCTTCTAATGTCCCTAATGGAATACTGGACCACTGTAGAAGGGCTCAAGTACAGTTTAGAAGTGTGGGGTGGAAACAATAGTTCGTAAGGTATTATAAGACATGTCACAATGTGATACTACATTATATATTATTTTACAATGATATTGAAGCAATCATGTTAAACTGCTATCACTTATTGAAGGAGTATGTGTCCAATATCCTACTTAAAGGATTACTGTAGATGACCTTAAAATGATTTTAATGCCCCTTAAAGCATCCTATGATATAAGGAAAAGATTAAAAAACTTAATCAAATTTAGCCCGTGTTTGAGCTCCATTCTCTAAAAACTCATTCTTCCCCAAACTCATCTTCAACCCACATTCTCCCAATAAAATAGAATTATACATAAAAACCCAAAATTTTTCCTTACTTTTTAACCACACATTCCCCAAAAATAACTATTACAAAACTCATTTTTCACAATAAAAAATAGGGTTCAAACGGAGCTTAATAAAAGGAAAGGGATGCATATAAAGATTTAGCCATGACCTCATCTTTGCATCACTTCAATACCCAAGCCCATGTAACAAAACTTCGCTTTTTCTTGAAAAATGAAGCACAACCAACTTCATCAGGAGTAGGAACGTACAACTTAAAGGGTTTTTTTTTATATTATTAATAGCGGCATTAGAAGCTAATTTGTATAATTTCAGAAAAGGGTGCTAAAAGGCCAATATGATATGGTTTGTAAGAATGATTATTTGGATAATCAATCTTGAAAAAATAATTCATAGTAGTTCTTGTTGAAAACTTTGTGAGTAGTAACATGATAAACAATGACTGCTTATTTATACTAACCAAACATCTCACTAGGTGTCATAAATAATTAATTTTCAAATCATCTAAAACAATCCAAACAGACAGAAAGGTGGCTATCAAAATAGGGCATGCAATCTTTGTCATATTCAAATTTTACAACTCTTGCCAAAATAAGTTAAAATGATGAAGTGCTAATTCAGATCTTAGAGATGAAGAGAGGTGAAGAGAGTAAAAGCAGTAAAAAGGGTCATCCAGTTTATTAGTTCCAGACGATAAAAATTTGAAACATTGTTTTCGGGCATGATGAAGCAAAGCCTTCTTAACTTACATATAGAGTTGTAGAGATCATTTGTCCACATCAATTTGCTTCTATTAAAGGGAGAAGAATAATACAATAATTTTGCACAGTAAAAGAATGTTCAACAGCCGATTGATTGGAAAGAAAATTTACCCACTTCATCAATGCAACATGGGAAAAGAACAGTCGTTTTAAAATTTTACCTCATAGTCAACATCAGCACCATACATGTCCTTCTTTCTACCCCAAACAGCCCTTTTTTCTTCCTCCTCTTCGGCATCATCAAGCATTTCGTCTTCTACTCCACCAAACTTTGCCCGCAAATACTTTTGAGTTCTTGCAACTAATAAATATCAAAAGAATATTATGAGTACAAGAAATTTCCATACAAAGAAGAGTAACAACTTTGAAGACCTAAAAACAAAAGAAAAAATAAATATATTTTTTTCCTATCATGAAGAAATCATAAAAAGCATGACAATCATCACACGTCTAGTGTTGTCATAAGAAAAACAAAGCAGTCCCGAAGGATATAACAAAAAAATTAGAAAAATAGGTAAGAACAATTCACACAGCCATAACGAATTATCAAGCAAACATCTAATATCAATTTCTTGAAACAAAACACAACAATCTAGTGGTGTCTCGGGGAATGAAAGACTTGATCAATGTCTTGCTCTGAACTAACCAATAATTTGGTAACTAGCCAAATTTCATTAAGATTTAGAGTTACAAAATTTGACGAAAGTTTAAAACCAAATCAACAACACCTCATACAAATGCAAGCGGCCGAACTAAGCTGTTTTGTACTAGAAGCTCAGTGTTCAAGAAATTAAGCCTTATCTTTCACTACAAATAGCATTAAATAACAATAAGAACACATTCAGAAAATTGAGCTCTCTATTACTTTTGGCTGCAAGGCCTGTAGGCTTGGCATCATCATCCTCGATGTCGTCGTCGTCGTCCTCATCTTTATCTTCCTACAAAATGGGAGACCAAAAGGCAAGCAATAAGAATATCAAGGGCAAACAACGAAACAGAATTCTAATCATTTACCGGAGCCTCCAAAACTTGCAGAAAATTAACTTAAAAGGAAGAAAAGGAAACACAAAAGTGAGTCATTCTCCTATGTTTATGCACCATTTAAGATTATCCTGATCTTTCGAGAATACTACCAATTGAAAAACTTTAGATTAAATAGTAACATAAAAAAACAATAAAATTCTTTTCCTCCAAGATTTATACTAATTACAAAAATCCTCCATTCAGAAAGGAGAATAATTCTTCCCAATTAAATGCAATAAGAGGCCAAGGGAAAGAGAAATTAATATAACCTCAAAATCTAACACGGGGATCTCTACATCTTCATCAGACTCCCCAATATCGTCATTTATATCCAGCGGAACAATATCTCTCTGCTTGTGGACTACAACAGTAAAAAAAATCATAACACATAAGCAAAAACTCAGTATCATTAAAAATATAATATATACAACATTGGGTTAAATAGAATAATTATACAAACAAAAAAACGTACAGGCATCAATATCATCGTTCATCATTTCATCGTCATCGGAATTGAATTGAATTGTTTTTCTCTTGGAAGGGTGATTGTCTTCTTTCTTCTTGTATTTTCCTCCTTTCCTCCCCATTGTTAAGCCCTCTGTGTCCGTGTATCTGCGAGAAATGGAGACACAAAAACCCTATGTAAAAGCCTTCACTTTACGTTTTAGGTTTATGCCATTCTATGTGAATTCTTAATAGAAGGAAATTTTATTTTTGGGAAATTACGTATGTTGTTATCATCTTTTACCAAATTAGCAATTAAGTCCCCTGTTTAACTTTTTGAGGCCTTTAGGTCCTCAGTCTTTCTGAAATAAGCACAAAGATAATAGATGGATACAAACTGTCAATTATTCCGTGAAACTGAGTATATGGTTCAATTTTTCGGGGTAATTTGGTCAATCTAAGTCCTACACCATTGCAGAAGAAACAAATTTGAATACTTCAAGAGTATCTCCTATCATGGTGTAAATAGATCTAAATCACAAATTAAATCTTCGAAGTAGTCGAAACCTCTTCAATGAAGAGATATAAAGAAAATATAAATTGTATTCTTCTGCAAAAAATATTTAAAAAAATGAAATTTCAGCCAGATGCAGTTTAATGAAATTTTCCAATACAATTTTCCGAAAATAGAAAAATGATAGCAGTAAAAATAATGGAGCAGAAAAAAAAATCTAAAAGAGTTAAAGCTTATATAGCCTAACCTTGAAACAATGGAGAAAAACTATCTCAAACAATTGAGGGCTAGGCTGGTGTCTGATATTCCGAGAGACAGAGAGAGACGTTGACGGAGGAAACCTAGAGCTAGAGTTAGAATGGGATATATAGGTTATAGTTTTGTTTTGGGCTTGGGCTGTTATCTGTTTATGTTATTTGTTGTGGAAATTGCATAAGCTATCCCCTTTAAAATAAGTATATCATAATTACCCTCTCACATTTTTTATTCCACGAATACTACTGATATATTTAAGTAAAAATGATAAATCTCAAATCACTAATCTCTTCCCCAATCACGGTATCTTCTTCAATAAATCAAACCCCCATAATCACAAATTCTCAGCACTTCCTTTCATCTCAAAATTCTTTCCATTTTTCTAAAGATTTCAGTTTTGGTATCCATTATTTCACCTCCTACATTCATAGAATTAGACACTGTAAGTTTGCATTTGCCACATCGAAACTTGTGATTTAGTACCGTTGTTTGCTCAATTGTAAGCGAAAATTGTGCTTATGGACACCCCAACCTATCGTCTCTCTCGATCTGCCACAAAAAACTAGTCTCAATATTGAAAAGGAACCATGGGTTACCAAAAATACAGATAGAAAACCAAATATATCCACAATTCAAGTAACAGAAAGCAAAATCAAGTTAATAGAAAGAAAAGTCTGCCCCCAAATCTCTTCATTTCCGTTAAGCTCAATCAAATTAAGTGAAAGCAAAATAAAGTTAAGTTCAAATCAGCATATCAGGTAAAATCAAGCAAAATCTAATCTCAATTCTATCTACTGTGCACTATCAATTTATGCCCAAATCAATGTACATATATTCATTACTCAACTACACATAAATTTCAGTCTTTACCCTAGGATTCTCCCCCTTTCTCTTTTCCAAGACAACCAATAACTACTTATTTGCCGTTGAAGCTGCATCATCAGGTGCAAGTCCAAGTTTTTTTTTCATATGATTTATAGTTTTTGAACATTCTACAAATGGTTTTCTCTGATTGTTCTAGTCATCAGGTGTGAAAGAAGTTGAAGTTTCTTCTCGGTGCGAAGACTTTACCGTTACTACCAGCAGTATTGATAAATGTTGTGTGCAGGTTACGTCTAGACAAATTAGTAAGTAATCATTATTCATTAATTCCACCCTTTGGCCCTTTGCCTCTACTTTAGGATTCCACAGATGACAGAACAATACAATACATCACAAATCCACCTCCTAAATTAATCTCACAATCCCAACAAAACCATCCTAGAGAGAAACGGACACCAAAAAAATCCACCTCCTAAATTAATCTCACAATCCACATCCTAAATTAATCTCACAAGTGCCGCATTGAAAGAAAATCAAAATCCATCACCAAAAAAATTAAGGCTTAATTTTTCCTCTCCACCGAAAATTGAAGAAGAAGAAACAGACAATTTTTTCAAAAACCCAATACTAAAAAAGCGAGACACGCTTCCCTCAAACGGCCTCAGCCACTCTGCTCATTAAAAACCCCAAAAAAATTAAGGCTTCCTTTTTCCTCTCCTCCGAAAATTGAAGAAGAAGAAACAGACAACTGCATATACTCCACACTCTACAGCCAATAGCAGATGAATACCAATAGAAATTAATCAATTATAGAAAACTCACCTACCGACCCGGCCGTGCGTGGATGCAGAGGCGTGCGGCCGTGCGGGGATGCTGGAGCAGTGGAGCGGCGGAGCCTGGAGCTAAAGCTTCTCAATTCTCTGTTGATGCAATGAATTGCAAGGGCACTGGGCAGGGCTTCTAAGTTCTATCATATTGGATCAAATAATTGGCCCACTTGTTTTTTTTAGTATTGGGTTGTTAAACAACTTGGGGCGGCCCAAAGCCCAGTGTAGGCATGGGCTTAGGTTGGGTCCGCCCCTGGTTGTGTGGAAGCTCTTCGAAATCTCGATTTGGGCTCATAAAGCCAATTAAATGAAGGGAAGAATATATAAATAAGGTATTTACTTTTACCCATTTCACAAATATCAAAACATGTTTTAAATTTCAAAAATCAGGTTTCTTTAAATTTTAATTATGAAATAATAATTATTAAAT